TTTGGAGTTAAAGCTGATAAGTTCGGCTCTCTCTCTCTGCTACTGCAAAAAGTTTGGGTTCTCTCTCTGCTGCTGAATTCATTCTTTCAATTTTTCCTTTCTCCTAAATTGGCGAATTTAACAAGTGAGGGAAATCTGTTTAGCTAATTTGCCTTTGCCAAGGATGTGTTTTATGATCTTCTTTAATTGCTCATTTGAGGGCCAATGCGATCTTCAAGACATCTTCATTGGTGAGTTCCCTGGGGATTTCTGTCTCTCTAAACAATTCTTTGATTAATTTTGCTATTGGTAGCAGAGGCAGGCAGGTGATCACAATGCCTCTGTACAGCCATGGTGCCTATTAGTCAGTCGATCATGAGGCGATTTCCTCTGACCCTGCCAAATTTGGTGTGACCAGCAATCAAGGTTCTGGGCAGGCACAACCCAGCACTTGTACTCAAATAATCTCGCTTAAATACCTGCAAATGTGCAGCACCTTTACCTTCAAAAAACAAATTTGAATGTAAATGTTCAAAATTGAGAAAATCTGTTCTTTCCTACATCTTATTTCCCTGGATTATGTATCTTTGTACACTTTGGCTTCTTCATACTTCACATTATTGTAATACCTTCTGAAGTGAGAGGTTAACATCAGCTTCAATGGATACAATGCCTTGATGCTAACAGGAACCAAAGTTTGTCCTGATATTATACTGCACTCCAAATTTGAAGTCATTTGATTGGGATATCATTTTAACTTATTATCTGTGGGAAATGCAATGGGAGATCGCTTCTTTTATGTGGAAGATGCCTTTGTTAATTTTGAGAAGCAATGCCTAGTCTTATTTGTGTTCGTGCTTTGATCCACAGATCATACTGGTACTGCCATCTGCTGGACTAATTATGCATTTAAATAATGAAGGATAGCTTTGGTTAGACAGCATCCATGGAGAGAGAGCAAGCTAGTGTTTTGAATATAGATGACGCTTCATTAGATGAAGAATCATCTAGACTCAAAATGTTAGCTTGATCTCTCTCCATGCATGCTGCCTGACCCGCTGTGATCTCCAGAATTTGTTGTTTTTAGTACAGATTCCAGCATCTGCAGTAACTTGCTCCTACCAACAGTTTTGTTTAGTTTCTTTGCACAGCATTATATCAGGTCTGAATGGTAGCGGCTATAGCGAGAGTCAGAATTAGATGAGATGTCTATCAAGGCCAATCTCGCTGCATCTTCTAT